AGCTTTTATATGGGACTAGGAATAAGGCTCGTTGTGGGCTATAAATCCAATCTCTTCTTCACAGAGTCCACCATTTTCTCCAGGGGAACTGATCTCTGCTACCTGAAGAGCAGTCATAATTCTGAGTGATCTCCAGCCCCCACCCGGAGATGGCAACAGTGGTTCCCCAGGAGGGAATGGCTGGTTTGGAGGGTGGGGTCTATGGCATTGTACCTGAGGTCCCACCCCTCCTCAAACCAGGCTCCACCCCTCAAATCTCCAGGAAATTCCCAATCTGGAGTTGGCAACCCTATCTCCTTCCCAGCCTATCATCAACCTACCTTTATCTGTCCCTCTGACTTCAGCTTTTCATCTCCTCCCCCCTCCCTCCTGGACAGCAGTTGTAATTCTGAGTGATATCCAGCCCCCACCTGGAGATTGGCAACAATGGTTCCCCAGGAGGGAATGGCTGGTTTGGACATTGGAGTCTATGGCATTGTACCTGTCTGAGGTCCCACCCCTCCTCAAACCTCACTCTGTCCAGGCTCCAAATCTCTAGGAATTTCCCACCTGGAGCTGGCAACCCTATCAGGACTGGCCCCAATGAGTTTTCTCCCAAAGGCCAAAATAGGTGCGGAAAGGGTCTTTTACTGACAGAACCAAGCTTGGTTGCCTACCAACAGGCACTGAGGGGAAAGTAGGGTTGCCAGCTCTGAGTAGGGAAATACCTGGAGATTTGGGGGGTAGATCCTGTGGAGGGCAGCTTTTTTTGGGGGGGGCAGAAGGACTCAGCAGGGGATAATGCCATAGGGTCTACCCTCCAAAGCAACCATTTTCTCCAGGGGAACGGTTCTCTGTAATCTGGAGATCAATTGTAACATCGGGTGATCTCCAGGTCCTACCTGGAGATTGGCAACCCTAGGGGAAAGTCAGCCACACATCAGGGGTTGAAGAGAATGGTTTGATGGCCGCTGGCCCATCTCATTAGCCAGCCATGGTGGAGCCAAGCAGGAGAACCATTCTCAGTTTATTCTGACAGGAAAGTGGCCAAGCTGGCAGTGGGCGGGGGAGGGGGTTATGCTGAAAGTCCTTTGTCTTTTTACTGACAGAACCAATCTTGGTTGTCTACCAACAGCCAGTGAGGGAAAAGTTAGTCCCACAGAGGAGCCCAGCAGCAGACGTGTCTTCGTCAAGGGGGAGAGAACCATCTGCCAGTTATTCTGACAGGCAACAGTGGCTGAAGTGGGAGTGGGCAGGGAAGAGGAGCAGACGCAGCACCTGGCCAATGGCACGCGAGTACTTAGTGGTGGCTGACGGCCCAATGGCTGATGGAACCATACTGCACAGCCAATGGGAGAGCTGGAAATGGCCAATGTGCTAAGATAATTATTATATATAGATGATGATGGCCAGGGAGAATCCAAAGATGTGCTGTAAATTCCCCATTTCCACCTTAATACTATAGACTAATGAGAAGAAACCTCCAATACATCTTTGCCTTCTGCAGCCTTTCCTCTCCTCACCCACAGTCTTCTACCAAATGTAATGAAAGCTCGAGTATTTGATTTCTTCTGCTAGCCATACAGCCCATGCCCAGGAGGACCAAATTTGAATATCCACTTTGCCATGGAAGCCTGTCAGGTGACCTTGGGCCTGTCAGATGCTCAGCCTAACCTACCTTACACAGAGTTTACTAGGAGAATGATGCAATAGGCCACTTCGGGTCTCCACTGGGAAGAAAAGTAGGGTATAAATAAAAATTAAAAAGCTCTGCATAGGAAATTATACTGCATGCCTCCTTCCTCCCTCAATCTGTTGTTTCCCCTACTTAAACCCCGTGGGGTCGTCATAAGTCAGCTGCGACTTAGTGGCACTTTTGACACACAGGGCAGAAATTCCCATGCTTTCATCACAGTAGCTAGAATGCTGTCTATCTATGTCAAGTGTCCCCAATATAGTACCCATGGGTGCCAAGGTGCCTGCCCCGACTTCTCCTGGTACCTGCCAAACTTTTCAGAAAGTGGATGGGGCCACTGTGAGGCAGAACTCATTATTGCCTGCCCTCATTTAAATGAAAGGGTTCCCCAGCCCCCCACGACAATAGCAGTCACTCACAGACACTACAGGGTCATTAGTTGTACATTTTCCGGGCTGTATGGCTATGGTCTTGGCATTGTAAGACCTGACATTTCCTCAGAGGTATAACACAGAAAGATGGAGTACTCTTTGTGTCAAGGTGAGAAGAAAAATGGTAGGCAAGTAATTTATATCTACTCAGGAAGGTGGGGCACGGGTGAGTCATTATCTTGTAGGAGTTCCCCAGGCTGTGACATGGTAATGGAGGAGCTTTCCTGAGGAAATGCTTTTGCATATGGATTAGCTACTGGAATTCTAATCTTATCTGTAGTGCTATAGTAAAATGTAGAGCATTTTGTGTTTTTCAGGACAGGAAACCATGCCCTATTTATTTTTAAACTCTCTTCTTTCCTGCTGAAATTGTATTTATGTTTATGAATTTCAATGGCTTCCCTGTGTAATCTGACATGGTAACTGGATGTGTTGTCCAGCCTTTCAGTATCTTGGAATAAGATACGGTGTCCTGTTTGAGTTAGGCTATGTTTAGCCACTGCTGATTTTTCAGGTTGGCCCAGTCTGCGGTGTCTTTCATCTTCTTTTATTCTTGTCTGAATGCTACGCTGTGTGGTCCCAATGTAAACCTGTCCACAACTGTATGGTGTGTGGTATAATCCTGCAGAAGTGAGGGGGTCTCTTCTGTCTTTTGCCAATTGTAGCATCTGTTGTATTTTTCTGGTGGGTCTCAATAATGTTTGTAGGTTGTGTTTTTTCATACATTTTCCCATCTGATCAGTGATTCCTTTGATAAATGGCAAAACTGACTAGAGGATCAGTCAGACTGGCAAGGCACCCATACTTTCCTTTGCCAGTGTGTGATTCCATTCCCTCTTCAGGTCTGACTAACTTGCCATGGGCTTCTTTTGAAAAGCAGAGAAGGAGCTGTGTTCTGGGTCTTGGAGTCCAGGGAGCTCAGCTGTTGCATGAGCCCCTGCCTTCTTCTCCATGTTTGCTATCCTTCCGGAGGCTGGAACATGCTCTGACCAAAGCACAGATAGTACTAACCTCCACAGAACATGGGCCAGACTCTGAATAAGGCAGCTGCATGCAATTAGTTTGCAAAACAAGGAGGTAGTATTGAAGTTGGCTCCACCTCCTGTGTCAGCCATTTTGGGGTGGTGCTCAAGACCCCTTCTCACATTTTCAAAAGCGGCTGCTGATTCAAAGGATGTTGAGAACTTCTATATAAAGTAAAATGTATCCCAATGGTTTAGGCTGCAGTCAAGTGCCTTGTCATGGGCCCTGCCTTCAAAGGCAATTCATGCTGTTCCTGATGCCCTACCGTCTGAATGGAGGAGGGCTGACACCAGCCTGCAAAATACACTCAGGAGTTGATTTAAAAAAAACACAAAAAACCCTACAGCCATGTGCCCCTGAACCCTGCAGGAACGAAGGTGCCCTGTCCTCAAGGAACTGGCCCAGGTCAGCCCAGTTGATCTATAAAGCAGTCAGCGGAAGTGATATATTGGTGACTGTAGGGCAGTGCTGCACCCCAGGGAGGAGAAATTAAAGGTCGCTGTCTTGGAGACTATGGAAGAAGAATGCTTATTTCTTGTTGAGGAAAGGGCCTTCTCTTTGTGAATTCTAGCATGAGGCCGAGGAGAAGCAAAAGTTGCCCGGGGACTCTGGCTGAGCAAAGCCTGCAGCTAAACCCTTGCAGCACAAAATAGGTTTCACCAACCCTGGCCAGAACGAAAATCTCTCTCGGGACGTCCCGAGTAACTCATGCACTCAAGCTCCGACCTTAGCACCGGGGCTTGAAGAAGCACCTGCTCTCCCCTCCTTCTGCCCAGGTACGTTTTGTAACGTCCAGCCTGATGAAGAGAAGAGTTCGGCGCTGTGAAAGCGGCAGCGAGGGAACGAACGGCAGGCGCCGCCTGTTGCCCTTCCCTCCGGAACGGGCGCCGAGGCTTTTCCCGCGCGACTCGCCGGCACACCGATCCCCGAGCAGCACCCGAAGCTCGACTACCAGCTCCGCCCCGCCCCGCCCCCCCCCAAAAATAGCCACCAGTTTCCAGAACACCCCAAACTTCGTGGGTTTCACAGTGCTTTCAAGTCGTGACTTCTGCCTGCGCTTCCGCTTGCATTTCTGAAACGGCAGCCGGTGTTGTCAGTCCCAGCAGCGAATCTGTTTCGGTCCCTCCCTCGGCCATTCCAGCTCTGGGAGGGAGAAACGATTGAATTGCGATTCCGCTTGCCGGTCCAACGGTGCAGGCGCCGCGGCAGCCCGGGAGCCCATTGCCCGGCGAGCACGTGCCGCGCCGACTCCGGCTGGAAACCCCCCCCCCCCTTAATCAGAACTCGCAATCAAGCTCTTCCTGGATTTAAACCGCCGGGGAGAGATAATCCCGGGCCAAGCTGTCCCTTCGCTCTCACCCGAGATGAGCTCGGCGAGGAAGAGGAGCGGCGGTGCTGCCGCCTGGCTGCCAGCAGACCCACCGGGTCGCTCCCTCCGGTCGTCCACCGCGAGCCCGGCAGCGGCGGGAGGACTCTCTGCCTCGCCTACTAAGAAGCTGACCCGTGGCGGCGGCGGCGGGGGTGGCCTCGGGTCACAAGAGGGCGGCGGGAGGCAGCCTGGGGGAGCCCCCTCGGCCCGGAGGGAGGAGGGGGTGCGCGGCGAGGGACTGGCGAGGCGCCTCGGCTGGTCCTCCTCGCAGCTTCTCGAGGTGGCGGGCGAGAGCCGGGAAGGAGGAGGTGCGCGCCCTCCGGTCACCTGCCTGGGCTGGATTCCGGCCAGCAGGGACTGAAGGGGCGGCGGGACGAGTGGCGTTCGTCCCGCCTGGCGGCTCCGTTTGGCTCTTCCCGGCGGGGGGTTCTTCTCGCTCGGGCTTCTCGTCTGTCCCCTGGCGGCGGGCGGGCGGGCTAGAAGCGTTGCGCACCGACCGGCGCCGCTTTCTCTTCCGCCCGCCTCCCATGCTCCCCGGCGAGGCGATGGCGAAGCTCAGGGTCGCTTACGAGTACACCGAAGCCGAAGACAAGAGCATCCGCCTGGGCTTGTTCCTGATCGTCTCCGGCATCGTGTCGCTCTTCATCCTGGGCTTCTGCTGGCTCAACCCGGCCCTGCAGGACCTGCAAGGCAAAGCGGCCAACTGCACGGTGCTGTCGGTGCAGCAGATCGGCGAGCTCTTCGAGTGCACCTTCACGTGCGGCGCGGACTGCAAGGGCACCTCCCTGTACCCCTGCCTCCAGGTCTACGTCAACAACTCCGAGTCCGACGCCCCGCTGCTCCTCCACCTGGACGAGCACCAGCTCCTGGCCAACCCCAAGGTAAGCCGCGCCTCGAGGCATGTGCAGACGGCCGACGTCCCTGTGCCCCGTACTGAGCAAGGAAGGGCGGCGTGATTCCCAGCCAAGAAGTTTAAGCCCGGCGTCCCTTTGCCTTTACACTCCTGGATCCGAGCCCCCCCCCCCCCCCCACCCC